CACACACACACACACACACACACACACACACACACACACACACACATTTATTTAGTGCCAGAGATGATAGCTATAATACAAATATATTTTTACGCAGACTATAGAAAGGATAATAGGAAATTAAGTGATATGGTTAGCACAAAAAAACTTCCAAGGACGATCTTAATGAGAGTGAATCTTTTTATCGCAGTTCAGAGAAATAAAGATTTCTTTTCTCGTTGTTCGCGTATGTGGAAACAAGATTTTACAATATACATAAAGCGCGCAGTGAAGCGAACAATTTTTGTTGCCGCAAAATTCGCTGTTATTAAATGAACGTTAAAACGACTGTACATATGTATGTACATACCTGTATATACTGTCGCATGCACTTAACTCATAGACATTTTGCATTTGTCTACAATATCATTTGTGGATTTAAGTTCCTTGTCTCAATAAGCCATTGTGTTCGAGAAATAGTCTATTATATACATAGGTATGTGCATTTATATTAATGTATGTACTTACCTACTTCAGCTTAGATTGATATCCATATTTGCATAAAATTCTACAGCGGTACGTACAAAAACTTTTTTTTTAATATAAACTTTATTTAAACGTATAAGAAAAAACTTGAATGGGCTGGCTTCGTATATGTGCGCTTTTGTTTCGGTTATTGTGTCGGAATGGGTAGGACAAACCTTATGATTAAAATGACTTTTTTTATTTGATATTAATTAATTCTATTAAAAATTTTTTATTGAAATACCTTAAATCGCAGGCTATGAGGCTAAATGACAAGAGTATTACAATCACTGCACGAAAGACAGTTCTGCTCGAAAATAATGTTATTTTTCAGAAGCGCGGCCGAAGTAAACATATTTAAAACAAGCGAAAACAAATGAAATCGAGCGAAAACGAGCGTAAAACTTGCGATTTTTTACCATTTTTCTAAGGACTGCCTTGTGACTCATTGAGAGCCTAAGGTGTCAGGGATTGCAGTTTTGTATTAGCCGGCTTATACTCTCACTAAAAAGTTGGACTAAAGGTATCACGCCTCATCCACCTTCGTCCACCATCCCTTTAGCCATCGCACATATATTATAGGAAAGTTTTCCCTAAATAATATACAAATTTATACTACATATAAAGGCAGTAAAGAGGGAAAAGTGAGCGAAGCAGCCTTGGTAAATGAATACATCTGTTCCAGCCCAAACTTCACATGCCCCATGATGGTTTTCTCAGTATGCTCAATGTTTAAGTAAGTCGTTATGTCCCCGCTTATATTCGTGTTAGCTCCGACGAAATTCTACTAAGCTTCAGACAGATTGACTTTGACCGCGAAAAGTTGTCTCAATGCCAATCTGAGCATGGTATGGTATACAGATCCGCCCACTTCTACCCATATATAAGTTTACGCGTATAGCCATTTAGCTTGCCGGCTGCCAGGAGGCATACAATGAATTACAGGAACCTCACTCAAGTCCGGCCTTTTAGGCGAAGAGCTTGCAAATGTCTCATCCATTCTGCTAGACGTACCTACCTGAATTGTCATTTGAAGGATATGAAAACACTGCTTAGGTTAGATAACGTGAAACAAAGAAAGCTAACCTTTGAGACTTATAAAAAGAACTACGTACATGCAAAGAAAAATTTTTCGCAGTAAAAACTCTAACCAATGACATATTCATCCCCTTGAAAACATGCATTTGTACATACATACGTGCATGGCTATGAGTACAAACGAAAATATATATTCTGCTTTTATTCATCTAGTCTACGGTACTTTGCGACAGCAAAGGGAATGATTTACCACTTGATTTGTGTGATTTACGCATTTCGCGGTATAGCAGCGAACGTTGAAAGCGATTGCGTTTATAAATTAAATTAAATTGCAGCGATTTGAGCTGGAAAAGCTCTTAGTAGTAATAGTTTGTAAATATTAAAAGTATCTGTGTAAGCTTTTCTGAAAATCCTGAAAGTCATATGATTTTTTTTGTGTTCGATTTAACTAGCGCTCATTGCAGATTGAGGGTAGTGAAAAGTGTATTTTTGTAATTATAAAGTTGTATGGTATCAACGGAATTTTCATAGAAGAACAGGGTTAAATTTTTAAATTTCTAAAAATAACTATATTAAATTTTCACGCATTTAAGAAGCGTGCATGTGAGCATTCTAGTTTAACTTAGCACAGGAAGCTTTTTAAATACCACTATGCATTTAAATCCAGTTTTTTTCTTGTACTGCACGTTTTAGTATTTACTGTTTTTTGTACAAATATATCATTTGCATTTCAGCCCTACCTAAATGGCTTACGCTTTGTTTTGACCATCTTGGGCGGCACTGTATCGGTGATGGGCAGTCGTGCCATTGGTTATCCCTCAGCTGGTGCACTCGGCTGCATGACAATCGCATTTTTTGCCGGCATCCGTTGGAAGAGCCAGCAACAACGACTCACTGCACAGCAACGTCAACGTCAGTTGGAAAATGAAAATGTAAGTTCGTAGTTATTTGGAGTGGCACCACAGTATTTGTATGTATGCATTTTCATTCTAAATATAAGAGGAAAAAAATTTCAAAGTAAACCAAATATAACAACAAACACCCACATAAACGGCGTGAGTGCGATGGTAGGCTTATAGTCACAGAGCTCCTTTGCTACCCATTGACTGCACTGACTTTTAGTTAAGCAAAGTAAAAAGGTTTTTGGGACAAATAGTGATTTCTTTAGTAGATTTTATATTTAAATCTTCCAGAGTAAATACATATGTATGTATGTGAGTGTGCGCATTTGTGCTTGCATGCATGCGCGTTCATTTGGAAAGGAGATTTCGTCAAATGACAAGTGGGTGTGTTTTTGCTGCTGCAACTGCTACTTTTCGACATCTGACATGCTGGTTGGCATACATATACATAGAACTGTATGTAAACG